AGCTTGGCGCCCCTTCCTTCTTAAGAAAGTCTCAAGAATGTACAATTGATCGAAGAATAGATGGAACCAGAATGAGCACGAAAAAAGTTGCACGCAGCCTCGAAAGCTCGCTAGCTACACACGGATATAGCTGATAATATGGGTTAAATTTAGATGTGAAAATAAGTTAAGTTAAAATTTAGTTAAATAAATTTGAGTTTGCATGGTAAGTTAAAAATTTGAATTTAATTTAAAACATATATAAAGTTTTTCTCATAATTCAAGTATGAGCTTCTCTAAAACTTGGCCTAACTTAAAAGCTTTTTTAAAAACTTACTTAAAAAAAACATTTTAAATAAGGTAGCATTTTAGTTTTAAATGTCTTAAATATATATTAAAACTATTAATATGAATATATAACATAATTTATTAATTATAATATATAATAATTAAAATGACTTATCAATTACAATACAATAATAAAGTAATAATATTAAAATCAATATACAAGTTCAATTTGATTGAAAACATAACTAAAAAATAAATTGATTAAAAATTAAATTGTAAAATTGATGAGTGTGTCATATATTATATGGAGTGAGTGTGTGTGTGTGTGTGTGTGTGAATATACCCCATTCAGCTCTTAAGACAGGCCTTAAAAAATTAGGCTTAATATATTTAACTAAATAGGTCTAATTAAAGACATAAATTTCACCTGAACCTATTTAATAAATAGTTTAGGTTGAACCTAAAATAAGTTAGAGCGTATGCCCTTAATAGGAGCTAAGCCTATTTTCAACCTTAATTGAGGCTGCAAGTTTAACCCATCAGTTCACACAAAAATGTGGATTATATTGAAAAAATGAGCTTATTTTCATGTGAACACTCGCAGCGAGCTAACCATTTAAAAAAGAAGAAGACAAAGTCATTCTAAATTGTCAAACTTGGTAAAATCTTAAAATTGAACTGTTATGGTTAATTTTTAAAAATTTTAAAAACTTTTAATATTGAATTGGGTTATAAGATTAAATTTATATTATCCATATTGATAATAAAATAAGTTTATTAATTTTTTATAATTTTTATTTTAATAATTATTAAATAAAAAATAAAATAAAATTTGTTAAGCTGGACCGTCCAAAACTGAGACTGGACTCGAGTTATTATGACAAATCATTAACAACTAAATTAATCAACCTTATCTAGAAAATGGAAAGCCTTTATTTGGACAACAAAGACATGAAGAATAAATTTTCGTTGCCCAGCTATACTAATTGACTTCTATACATTTTCATTTGGACAACAAAAAGTACGTGATAATAATTAATTTTTATTTTAACTTCAGTCTCGCTGCTTCTAATCTAGTTACATCTATACTAATTGTCTTCTAGCAAGCTAATTGCACTATTGACATAGCTGGGTTTGAATAAAACATGTGCATATACCTGATATTTTAAGATCTTGAATCAAGATATAACATTAGTGGACATATACAATTTCAGGCCCAATTAAAGATTCATTAGATCTCCCCAATAAAACTATCTATTGAGATGATCTAGCATAATTAATGTTATTGCAATTTCTGATAAAACTTCTAACATTATGATTCATTAAAAAAAAAAAATCAAACTTAGGATTGCAATTAAACTTTTTAATATATTTATTTGTAATTGATATACATTTATTTTGAACTGTATTAATGTATTTTTAATTTGTATTTTTTGTAATGATTTAGAAGCAGTTTAATTGTTATTTAAATAATTAATTCTTAGGGAGAAAATATGATTTTTTATCACACAAAACTAAAGTAAAAAAGTGAATTTACAATTTTTAAAATAAAAAAATATATAAAAAATATTTGTTATTCCCACCAATCTGCTAACAAATTGGTAAAAATACAACTTGCACAAGATGCTAGTTTTGTCAACCTATCATGTCAGACTTGTATCCAACTACAAACTAGTTTGCAGATTGTGAGTTAATCCATATTACTAACTTTATTATAGATCTTGTGAGTGTGAGAACTCTTTTCAAATCGTGTAGCTATGAGAAGTTTATATGATTTTCCTTCACGTCTCATTAAACAATGAAATTCTCATATATGCTGGCAAAAAATAAACGACAAAACCAACAAAACAACTCAGGAGTTCTCGTAATTCTTGATACTCAGTAGCCAATAATACCTCACCAATTTCTTAACGTTCACATTTACTGGTCAATGTTTCACGGGCCATTATTTGTGATAATTAAGCTCTCACAGAAATTAAACCTGTAAAAATGTGTGAATGATTCAATAAAATTTCATGTAAATTCAGGAATGATAAAATAATAAAATGAGAAGAAAGACTGGTGGTAAAAAAAAAACAAGAAGAAGAAAGACTAAAAATAAAAATTTCACAAAAATTCAGGAATCTCGATTTTAAATAATTTAAATCCTTTTCGTTCCTCTTCCTCCGCGTTTTTCAGGCAATGGGTCGGTGAATTGTTAGCAGACAAAGAAACGAACCCTTTTAAATTGACTTCAGTACTTTTTAACTTCAAATTTGCCATTTTTATGTACTGACGTAACCCGAAGAAAAAGATAACCCTCTCCTGAAATTAGTTCAAACGCGTACACTGAAAGCAATAAAATCCCGTAATTGAAATTGGAAAATTAAATAAGGATAAACTATATGCACGGATGATGAAGAATAACTACGCTTCAATTTTTAATAGTGTAGTCAATATACATATTATAATACTTGTAGATTATTCATAACCACTATTATAAAAAAAAATATGAATATGTATTAACATAATTAAATCTTGCTTGGTAGGCGGTAGCATTGTATATTTTCATAAACTAACCTTTTTTGAACCGCACAGAGGATGCCTGTTTTTTTTTTTTTGTGGGATCATCGATGAAAATGATAAACAATTAAAAAAAGTTGTTAAAAAAAAACTAATATGAAACTCAGATCGGGGATGAATTCAAGTATTCGGCCTTAAATAACACACACACACATTTTAGGTGACCACTGCAAAATTGTGAAAAAATTACAGCCACTCTTGTCATATTATTTATTTATTTTTTACTGAAATTTGTAATCAAGATCAAGTGAATAAATAAATATTTTCATAGAAGACAATAAAACTGTGGATAGAAATTCTTTGAAAAAGATACATGAGAGCTCAAGAAGACTTATAGTGATCGTGATCCATGAATATGTATTTTATATTGATAAAGTCTCAAGAGCAAGTCTAGTGGTCATGATCCAAAACCGCCATTCTCCTTGTTTTTGATTGATCCTCTGCCCCTTGGTCCCCAGTCCAATATGTACGCAAAATGGCTGGATGGCATTGAGGACAGGGAGGCCTAATTTCATTTTCTTCCTTACGTTCTCTATCACATCGAACCATCATTTATTACCATCAGACTGCGACTTGCCTATAATCTACACGTTCTCCTTCTAATTTTATTTACAAATCATTTTCAATATATTTCATTAAAATTAAGAAAATATTTTAAATTTATTAATTTTCTCTTAAAATTTAATAAATTTTTACCTTAATCTCTAATAAATATTCTTAAATTTTATTAGTGATATTCTTATTTAAAATATTTAATAAGGATAAAAATATAAAGTTGAGCATTAAAAATTGACAAGTGCCTTATAAATATGATTAAATTTTTTCTCTCTCTCTACCCTATAAATATGACTAAAAGAGTATATATTTACAAAACTGTGACACGAAGGAGTTCCTGTATGTTTGTTTATCACTTTTAGCATTACTTTTTCTGCTAAACTTAACTTCTAAAAATTTCCTCTACAGAACTACAGTGGTAAAAGTAAAAGTATAGGTAAAAGCAAAAGTATGAGTTGTTTTTATCATTTTAAATAAAAAAATATAACTTTAAATTACTACACTCTATTCGTATTTTATTATGGGTTCCTGCACTTTTTTTAATATTTTAGATAAAAATTTAAAACACTACAAACTAAATCAAGAACTTATAGCAAAACACGAGTGAAGTATAGAAATTTAAAGTTATGTTTTTTTTTAAATATTAATATGTCAAATGCACTTTTAACTATTTATAAACTAAACACGCCTCTTATTTCTAATCAGTTTTCAAAATTATAAATTAATGTGGAACCATACTATATCTGTATGGGTCGACAATCGTAAATTGCTAGATTGACTTAACCAAATCATATTTGAGCTTGTCGAGCCTAATTGAAATGTTTCTCTAAAAGATATTTTTCAAAATTTGTACGGACTTGAACTTAAGACTTCATGTATTAGTGGTCATAATTAGATTAGGTTTTACTATATACTAATTTATATTTCTCTGAAAACAGATAGTATGCACTGCAATATGTAAGTTTTACGAAAGTTACAATCTTTTTATTCTACTATATATAGAACAAGAATTCTGCCATGCATGTGAAACCTACAGCCAACTCCCAACTCCAAAAACATATAACTATAACGAAATATAGAATAATTAAAAACAAAAAAGGGCCTGCAATTAATGGGCTCCGCGCCGGATAGCTAGTTGCGTTTTAGACACATCACCCAAGACAAACAGCAACAAATCATCTAGTAAACCAGTTATTGGCTGCGGAGCATTTTGGAAAATTCCGATGTGGTCGCGCGTCCTATCCCCCTCTGTCTCTTGTTTCTTAACGTTACCACGTAGGAGTTTGTCCGATTACTCATGGACGTTTGATCTTTAAGCAACACATATTCCGTATCCTGATAATACCATAGTCATGTAAGGTCCAGGAGTGACGTCTCCCTTGCGCCAACCAGGCTTTCTCATTCACTTCGTTAATTGCTAAGCTTCACTTGAACCCAAAATCTCCCGTCCCAAAATTAAATTCCATATCCCTACGCTCACCCACTTCAAGTAATCCATTGAAGCTCCCGGCAGTCCATTAACTTTTTTTAAAACAAAAAAACGTGTGACCTGCAACAGTACGTTGCTTTTTATTTTTTGTTGGTTAATAATTAGAAGGCGCCCGAATTTGAATCAATTTCTTTGACGAAATTGGGAAGTTAAAACCCTCATCATCATATATAGTGAAAGCTGTGGGCTACAGAGCCCCAGAGAAACCTGTGTGCCGTAATGTTCATGAGTTCATGCCTGGGGATCATTTCAGTTTTCACGGGTGGAGATTTGACAAAATGGAAGATAAAGAAATTAAAACACACACGCACTATACACATACATACATACATAAATACATACATACATATATATATATATATATATATATTAATATAAATAATTGGTTCATACTTCATAGTATTTGGAGCCAAATACCCTCGCTGGGGATTTCTCGATTGACCACAAACAGCAGATAAAAACCGGGGGGTGCCAGGACAGACGAACCGGGGGTGACAACCTCAACTCTGAATGTCAATTTTCCGAGGTTGGACACTGTAAGAACGTCCAGCACCAGCAGCCTCTGGTTCATAGAGAAAGAATGCGTGTTAAAAGGTGGCGCCAACATCGTAACCGACACTGAATTTGGCGCCAGCATTGCCGTCACCCTGAACGTCACCACCAACTTGTCCCCGTACTTGACCTTGGTCTGAGAAGCTGGCGATAGAATCTTTGGACGCGCGTTTGAAAACTCTGCCTCCAAGTACCAGGGAGAATACGCCTCTAACCTCAGCTCCGTTGGTAATAACACTTTCGTGAAATTGTAATACCTGTGGGGATTGCTACCTCCCACGAGCACTCGACCGTCCCGGAGCAAGACCGCGGTCGAGTGGTAGACCCGGGGAATATTGGACGGGTTCTCCGACTGGAACCGAGACCCGATCGGGCTGTCCGGTTTATAAACAAAAGGGTTCAGCACCGGGTTCCGCCCCAATTCCCATCCTGCCGTGCCCGCGGCTGCTCCGTTGATGATCAGAATGTTGCCGTTTGGAAGAATGAGCATGTCGTTCATGACTCTGGCTCCGGGCATATTCTCCATGACCCACTGCGGCTTAGGGTCGGTTATTTTTATCCGAGCGCAGGTATTCAAGGCTCCCATGAATGCACTACCCTGGTTAGCCTGCTTGAAAGAGCCTCTCGGGGCTCCGCCACAAATCAAAACCTCCGCTTCGATCGACGCCTTTAGCAGATTCCTCAAAGGTAACAGGACCGCGGATCCTGTGCTCGGATAACACCGCGGATCTCCTCCTGGTATTTGCGGGAATGTCTTGACCGCTGTGCTCTTCCTGTAATCGAACAGGATAGCTCGATTGTTGGCGAATATGAACAAATTGCCGTCCACGTTCAAGAAAACAAAGGGATACAGGTTGTTCTCTGCACCTGGGTCGTTTGTCTGCACTAGAAAGGGCAAACTATAAGCGTTTCTGGCCGCAGGTGTTTTGGGATAAAATTCGTAGTTGAATGCCCGTCTGCCGCCGACGATAATCTGGCGTCCGTCTGGCAGAATGTGATTGGTGGCGTACCACCTACGAGCTGCGAGCGCGCCATTTTGTTCCTGCCAGTCACAGGCGGGACAAGGATTGAACATCCTGACGGCACGCTCCCCGTCGTTGAAGCCACCGGTCTGAACGAGACGGCCGTCGGGGGCGACGGAGCCAGAGGAGCACCAGACATCAGTCTGGACGAATAGCGGGCGGAAAGTATTGGAGGAGACATCGTACTCGATGGAGTGAGCAGTGCAGTCGACCTTAGCAACCTCCTCGTACGGGTCGCGGCGGCATTTGCCACGAGGCAAGGATAAATTGGAAAAGCCAAAGTCGGTGCGGTCGAAGATGACAACGCGGTCGTTGTGGAGTAACTGCATGTGCATGGCTACAAGGCCGATGCTATTCTGGAGGAGTTGCCAGCGGCCACAGGCGGCTTGGGCGGAGAGGAGAATGGATGAGAAGAGAAAATGGATTAAAAGGGCAAGCAAAGTCATGGTGATGGCTGGGGGTAGAGGCCGGGGCAAGGGGAAGGAATAGGATGACTTGGAACTGCCGGATGCTGGACAGTCGACATATGGCGTAGCAGCCTGTCTGGTCGCAGCTTTAAATACCCGTGAGGACTCACGATGACTGTCATTTAGTGCATGTATACCCACGTGCTAGCTACTGCGCGCAAGCGTGTGGGTATGTAATTAAATAATAATTATTTTTAATTAAAAGTTACTGTAACAAAAATATCAATGTTCGTTGTTGTTGCTTACTTTTATATCGCTCGTCTCGTCCCTATATGTTTGCGCCTTGTGCGAAGTTTTATTTTCTTTTTATAAATTGAAACAGTTTGTATCTATTGCATTATTGACTTTTATACAACAAACAATAAAAAATAAAAAATCAAATAATTAAAAGAAACTTCGCTGTGGAGCGGAGACTGAGGAGGATGATCTATTTTCGCCTGACACCTGACCCAGTTTCACGAGGAGAGGGGTTCCTCCATTGTTTTTTCTCTCCTTTTTCCTCTCTTTCTCAATTCCTACCATTGATTTTATTTTATTAAGTAAATTTATTTTAATTATAAATTTAATGAATGGTGAGGATTGAAAAAGGGTGGGAAAATGAGAGAAGAGAAAGGGAGGAACCCCTAACACTAGTTCCATGACCTGCTCCTCCAGAGGAGGATGAGTAACTGGTCTCTGCTAATTAGAGGTGGAAGAAGAAACAGAATAAAATAAAATCGCAACACGTATAAAAAATATTCGTCAATTTAAAGTTCTATTCGAATGAACGCTGCACGTATACATGCCGTGGCGATCTTTATGGCTAACTATACTTAAAAAGGATAAGATCCCACGTCAATAAAAATAATTGAGTTTTAAAAAATCAAAGCAATGGTCTCGTTCAACCACGCATATCCAATTATCCATTAATCTGAAAAAACAATAAATAACTGGACATGCAGAGATTATATATAGGTGAAAATGGGCATGCAAATATTAATTGAAGAATGCTAGTGAATATTCAAACTAAAGGAAGGTCAGGTGTCATCAAAAGAAATCTCTGCCTGCATTGGGTGAACGGGAGAGAACAGAATGCAGGCATTAAACATTTTCGATGCACTTGCGTTATGAAATTAATTTAAAGGGCAACCAACTTGACCAGAACAAAATGCCCCTAAAGACGATGGTTGGGCTGTTGGATACGGAAATTTATGTGCACTTTTTGAGCGAGGGGGAAGTTCTACTGTGGCCGTTTTTCAGGAACAATTTATTTGACATTTCAATAAAAAAAAAACTTTGTTTGACATTGTTATTGTTATTGTTACTAAGGTGTGTGTATTTATACTCCTTTTTCGTTCTATTTGTTGGGTACCTTTCAAAGGTAATTTTTTTATTTAAACTATAAAATATCTTATAATACTTAAATCAATTTTTTCAATTTTACTCTTTTTTTATTAATGTAAAAATATTTAATGTAATTATATTATTATTAAAAATTAAGGATAAGAAAGGAAATACATATCATTTTTATGATATCAATAAAAATATTTACTTTTTTTAAAATATGTAAAACAGTTGAAAACGTTTTATAATAAAAAATTGAGGAGTACATGTTTTTATCAGCACGAACGCACTGTATATTGAGTCTCCTAACAAGACTTCGTCATTAACCAGCCTTTTCCGCTAGATCAGTTGAATATTCACAATAAAAATGGTTATCGTTACATTATAACACGTGTTAAAAAGTATATCAATGTATTTGATACTTTTATGTGTACTGAACAAATTTATCTGGATTTTTTATATTTATTGATGATTTTCTTCAAGCAGCGCCAAATAGAAAAATATGGGAATCTTTATTTATTAGTTAATAATAATTTATGATTTTTGTGAGGTCGGAGGGAAGAAGCTCAACCCAACAGGAGGGAGCGTGTGGGGGCCAAAAACTCGATCATTTTGTCAGTATGTTGAGGAAGAACACGTGCACAAAAAGCAAGATTTGTGGTTCATTCATCGCTTTCTTTATCGCGAATTAATGTTCTGTGTCGTCTGGGGACATTCCCCCCTTCCCTGTTAAAAAAACTCAATTTATCTCTCATAGACGTTGTTTTTGAAAATCAGTTCCAATAAAGAAAAACGTAAACTATTTATATACTGATTCTGGCTGTGCGTGAAGTCTCAAAGATTCACAATCTCACTGCATTGTTCATTGTATATACATTTAACTTCATTACGAGTCACAAGGTCATTACGATTGGTCAGACAGCCCTGTTTGATCATAACTAAAATTGTCTTTTCGTGTGAAACAGTGATATAAAATTTATCTTGTCCCTCTTTAATTACTGCATGGAATATAATAGCAAAAATTATAAGGGCAGTAAAGCTTGGCATCAGTTGAGGATCGATGGAATGATTAATAAGTTTCTTATTCGGCCCCGCTACTTGATATTGCATCCATCCTAATTTATAAAACATTTAAAACAAAATTATATGTATCAATAAAAATAGTTAAATGCACTTTAGAACTTCGTTTTTTTAAAACAAAAATAAAACATTTTAAAAGTACCCTTTATTTAATACTGTATTTAAAAAAATATTAAGGAGAGAGAATATAATAAAAAGTGTGATTTTAAAAAAAATATCATCAATAAAATTTTATTTTTATCAAAATATTTTATATTTTAAAATATTGAATATTTTGAAGAAACGACTTATAATTTGAATGAAAAGTGGCATATTGTACAGGGTGAGACGTGACGTGTTTCCATCCTTAATCCCATTGCTATCTTTCCTTATAGATAGCTTGTTGGGGTGAAACTACTCACGGACGACTAACTCTATTTGTTTGGATTAAAGCCTTTTAAATTTGAACATTCTCTGTCAAATCAAACCACGCTGCATGATGAGTTGGCATATATTGTCCCAAATATATATATATATATATATATATATATATATATTGACTAGGTTTCGCAAATTTCAGCGGGTAAACTGCAAAGAAACGATGGTAAGAAAGGAAGACCGGGGGGGGGGGGACTATATTCCACTGGTCGTTCGTTAGGTTTTTTTTAAGATATGCTTTGGTTCATGCATGGTGTGGCCATTGATCTGCTTAACAAAATTCCCCGGACACGTTTCTTTTGTGAAGATCCTCCATGTTAAGGGAAACTACAGTAGTGCAACAAAAGGGCGTATTTATAATAAGTTATAAGTACATGTACAACTCGCTGCTATGGTTAAGGGAAAGGCAGCCCTTGTGTGAACTGTAAAAACTCTCCCTTTTCCGCGCGAACTCACAAACTTATCCAAATGCCTTTACATGCCATGTCGCCTAGCTCGGCACAGTGCTACAAAAGGAGATGCTCCACGGCGCACTAATAAAATCTTATTAAATTTCATCCTTTTCCATCCACGTATTTCTCAATCTGTTGTATACCTGACCAGAAGTGGGATTAATAACAAAATAAAATAGCCTGTCAATCTGGGGTTAATTACTTGTTAACCAAGGTAGAAAAATTTTCACGTGGTTTCTGGGCTCTATAGTGATAGAAGATTATAAAGTTAACACATTATATATTCGTAGTTTGTTGCCCATTTCTGGCTAGTTGGGATTCGTTTAAATTAAATTTTGATTCTGCGTCGCAAATAGAGCAAGGCTTTTCATCACAGGATTAATTTTGTGGTACCAGGCACCAAAACCTTGCCCGGCCACTAAGAATTCCACACTCATGTTATTGTTTGTTATGACGGCATGTATAACGATAATTAATTAAAGGGACAAACTTCCGGTCTTCCAGCACCGCACCTGTGCGTCTCTCGGCTTTTGCCGTCTTCGTCATGTGCTGCGTATCTTAATTTAATTTAGTGTGATTGCATCCATCTCCCCAATTTATATTGTTATTTTCCATTAAGGTGTACTCTTTTTATTAAAAAATGTAAATTATTATTAATCGAATCTCACTTTCTCATAAAGTACTCCCTTCGTCTTCAATTATAGGATATTTTTAAAAGAGTTTTTTTATTTTAAAATATAAAAAACTTTGGGTAGGTTAATATTTCATTAAATGTATGAATTTCAATATTATCCTTTCTTTTTTTATAATTAACTTTCATCTTTTCTCTTTTTAATATATTCAATGATAGATATTTTTAAAAATTTAATTTTTATTTTTGAAAAAATAAGGTTGTTAAGTGTATTTAATTAGTTTTATTGATACATGAGATTTTATCTAAAAATATCTTATAATTTGTGATAGAGGGAATAATTACTTGTTTTCAAACTAACTTTATTTTTTTATAGTTACCATTGTTTAATACTCTCTCCGTCCCTATATATAAAATATTTTTAACTGGATCACGTAAACTAAAAAAAGTTAATTATCTCATTAAAAGCATAGTAATATTTCAAATTTTCCCCTAATTATTGTAATTTAAAAATAATTTTCTTTTTTCAAAGTAAATTAATAAAATTCCTTATCTTTTTCTCTTTTTAATTTAATAAGGGTATAATGATTTGTTTATTAAAAAATATGCTAACAACCTTTTATATTCGAGGACGAAAAAAGTTTTAAAAAACTTTTTATGTACAGGGGTAAAGGGAGTAGATTGTTTCACTCTAAAGTAAATATAAAATAATTTATTTAATAAAAATATTTAAAAAATAATAATTATATTTTAAAATATTAAAAATATTTTATATTTTTAAACATTTAAACTCATAAATTAAGGAAGAGAGTACAAGCTAAAAAGACACATTTTCTTGCATGCCGCACGGAGCGAAATCAAGGTGTAATTCAAAACTTATGAATGGTGTGGCTAGTTTAGATTATAATATACGCAGTAGGGCTGTGCAAAAGTCTCCCAGTCCTGTCTGGTCCAGTCCAACCCGAGATGGTCTCAGTCTTGTTCGGTCTGTATAGTCACTGGTCCTTCAGGACCAAAAGGACTAAAAAGACCAGACTATTTTTTCGGGTTGGACTGAACAAGAGACCAGGCATCCGGACCACTTGGTCCAGTCCAGTCCTATTAATTTTTTTTATTATAATTATAATTAATTTATTTTTGACAAATGTTTAAAGTG